CTCACTTCCTGACCCTCACTCCTCTACGCCCTGCCCCTCACTCCGCCCCTCACTCCCTGCCTCCTCACTCCCTATCCCTCACTCCTCTCACTTCCTGACCCTCACTCCTCTGCACGCCCTGCCCTCACTCCCTAGTCCCTCACCCCTACCCTCACTGCCGCTCTCACTGTCCCTCACTCCCCACCCTCCTCTCACTCCCTGCCCTCACTCCCTTCCCTCACTCCCTTCCCTCACTCCCTGCCCTCACTCCTCTCACTTCCTGACCCTCACTCCCTCCCTGCCCCTCACTTCCCCCACTCCCTCACTCCCTGTCCCTCCTCACTCCCTGTCCCTCCTCACTCCCTGTCCCTCACTCACTGTCCCTCCTCACTTCCTGTCCTACACTCCCTCCTCACTCCCTTTCCCTGGCTTCCTATCCATCCTCACTCCCTATCCCCCCTCACTCCCTGTCCCTCACTGTCCCTCCTCACTCCCTGTCCCTCCTCACACCTGTCCCTCCACTGCCTGCCCCTCCCTGTCCCTCCTGACTCCCTGTCTCTTCCCTGTTCCTCCTCACTCACTGTCGGTTGTATGTCTAATCAAACAGACAGCATCTTCAACATTGCAGGGTCTCTCTTATCTCTCAGTACTGAGCTGTCACGTCAGACTAGATTATTAGCTCAAGTCCTGCCATGGGTCTTGATCCCTCTAACGCAGAGTGTCCAGTGAGCTAACCTAACACCAAATAATCTCAAATAGAGACCCCACCCCAACTAGACTAGCACCACCGCTGCTCCAATCACAGAATATCGAAATCGGACAAATTCCTCCCAGTGATCTCTCTCAGCATCTACTGCTTGTTGGAATACCACTTTTTGCAGATTTCTGGACCCTTTTTGTTTTAATGACAAATGGTAACCCAATACAAATAATTCCATAAATGTGAATGAAAGATGTCAAAGCTGTAAGATTATATTTGTGCTGTTTACTGTATTTAAGGTTTTTTTTAATTGGTATATTTTTAAAGAATAACCAAAACACTTATAATCTGTTTAGTATAGAGTTCCTTAATTATAGATATAGTATAGAGTTCCTGGACGAGAGACAACTTTCCACCGTCTCCCTAGGAAACCTGTCCCACAGATATACCACTCTCTCACTAAAATTGCGTTTCTGCAGATTGGTACTGTATGTACCGCCTTTGATCGCAGGCCGTGTCCTCTGGTTCTAGTGTTCTGTACAAGGTGAAACAGTAACAAATCAGCAAAATAACAGGAACTTGGAAATCTATTGAAAATATGATTCCTAAGTTTCTGTTTTTTCTTTTTGCTTTCATATGGCAGCATTGTAGGCAAACAATTCAAATTAGAGGCGGCCTCAGCCCAAGATGTCAGTCTGCGGTTAAGATGGCGTGGTGAACCATTGTAATATTTTGGATAAGAAAACCAACTGTTCAGATTTTTGATTGGCATCAGATTTCAATGGATAATCACTAAGTTGTCTAGATATGTTTAGTTATTTAGATTATCAAGCACATGTAAAATTAGGATTTCTTAAGACAATAGTGATTGTGACACAATGGGGGTCTGAAAATAGATTTGCAAAAAGCTTAGTGGATAGCAATCCCCGGATGTGTTGGAGCCAACCCATTGGAACTCGCTTTGACACCCATTTCAATTCCGTCTTCTTTGAAGTCACTTAAGAGGAAATTTCTAGTGTTAGCTGTAAAATGTCTGCAATTTGCTCTTTACTCATCCTTTTATGAATCTCACAATTTAGACTAATTGATGTCAAAATCAGACCATGAGACACATCCTATATAAACCTTTTCAAAACCTCTTGAATCTAATATACTGAAAAGAATCAACATCATTTTGGCCCGGACGCCATAGGATAAATGAATTTCACACATCAGAGCAGGTAGAGATTTCATCCATTGAAGTCAGATAATGATAACCTCCTTTCAATATAGCATATTTTATGTATAATTCATGCAAATGTTCCAAAACTCTCTACAATACATAATTGATTAGAAGTGAATGTTATACAGGTAATATTGTATGGTACAGTATCTAATAATACTTGCATTTGATACCTTTCACACCAGGACATCTCAAAGCATTTAACAGGATTTACTTTAAAATCTAATAGTGACTGCATATTTTGTAGTGCACGAGTGAGTAAATTTGCAGAAGGCAAAGTCCCACAAACAGGCATGAAGTGAATGGCCAATTTTATCTGGAGGAATAGTTGGCCAAGAAGCTTCTTCTCTTTTCAAATAGCACCATGACCTTTAACATCTACCTGAACAGGCAGATGGGACTTTGGTTTAAAATCTCATCAGGAAACTGGGAACTCCAATAATGCAGCGTTCCCCCAAGCACTTTATTGGGAGTTTCCATCTGCCGTACTAGACCACGACATTGGAAAGAGATGAAGCGAGAAAAAAAACTGAGAAACCAGAGAAAAGAATTTACATTTGTAAAATGTGCTTGAGTAGTATATCACGTTAAAGTCTCACAATTGTTAAAGTTAAAGTACTTCACAATTGCTGTCAAGTTGTAGTAACTGTTCCTGTGGATAACGCTCACACGTTGCACTAATTTTGAAAAGCAGCATCTCTACTTCAGTAGAGCTAGTTATTGTGACACGGCAAATAATCTTAGACCCAAGATTCACCGGGGAGACTGTGACTGAGATGATCACCTGATTCATGAAACAATGTACACACAATCAAACATCTGCAATGTCATACTAGTATCAGCGAAGAGCATAATTAATGTTTATGCTAAAGAAACGTGCAAGACACCCAAGAGAGGCATCTTAGCAGATAGCCTCTGTGCCATATGCCAATCCGCTTCTGAAAATGATTGCTGTATCACCATGAACTTTCTCTTACAAACACTTCCAACAAGCAGCAGCGAAGCCCTACGGGCAGGGAACAGATATATACCAGTAATATTGAATACACTGTATTTTCTTTCAGACACATTTCAATTCACTGAATTTCTATTTATCAACCCCTCAAGTTTGTTTTTTGCATATCTTGGTTATCCATGAGTAAAACAAACCCGAGATCATTTTCTGCACAATGCAAGAATTACAGACAGGTTATAGCAAAACTGAATTCTTTTAATTAAGTTGTGCAGTATTGGCGATGTACATGTTTTAATGTTATACGGCTGCATTTCCTCGTGTCATGCCCTTCTTCATCCTGCTTATAGATGAGCCCTCCTTGTGCTCCCTCAGTAGAAGGAGTAGCACTGGTGGATGTTAAATAGCTAACTGCATAAGTGGAGGGTTACAGAAGAGCCACTAACTGTATCCGCAATTAACCGTGAAGCACCTATAGCAGTGCCAGGGATATTGGTTGCTTTCGTTGCTGTGGACTCAGAGCTAAGTTGCAGCACTGATTGTAATTTGTCCAGGGATACCTGATGGCATAGAATTAAGCCTGACATGGATGTCTAGGTGTTTTGACTCCTCCACACTTCCTAATGTGTGCAAGTGAGCAAATCATTATTCAACATTGCTATGCTGCAACAGCCTTCAGTTGAAAGCAGCTGACTTGAGGTATCTGGTCCATACAATTCAGTAACGGCATGCAGCATACTGAACATCCAACCTGTACCAGCTGGCCTCTTAACAACCACCACTGCGACTCCTTCCTCATCAATATTAACATTTCCCACAGCACTGGTATCTTTGTTGATTTCTTCTTCCAAGTATGAGTGGGTGATTGTTGGGATTTAGACACATGGCCTTTTTCAGATTGCTGCTGACTCTCCTTCACCTGTCAGAAGACCAGATTGTACATTATTAGTACATTGGCAAATAATAATTCAGATACTATATGGTCAATACATTAGGCACTTATCAATAGCATACAAGAACAGCCACAAAACATTGTACAAATCATAGAAAGTGTGATTAATATGGTACTTGCCACGGGTTCTTTGTGGCGTTACAATCTCCAGACCAAGTTCCTTCCAGACTGTTCCTGCTGAAAAAATCGACTATACTGTTCTCATACAGAGCTAAACACCTTCATGTCTTGGATCCACCTGTTCCATGCTGTGTCCTCCTATTTGACAATTTTGCCTTTAAACATAAGAGCAGGGTGGTTTGAGGCAACAACTTGTCCTATGGAATTTTTGTTTCTACAGTACATTTTCCGCCTTAACGGCATGCTTAATGTCATTTGTAAAACTTTGCTAGTATTTCTTGGTGCCAATACAAAGTATTGCACAAAGTAATATTCATACTACCTTTGTGCTTCTCTTTATTGTTGCATTTAGCTTGTGCCTCGGGATGCAGGAAGAGTATAACAAAAGTACAGGAACCGACAAATGGACATATGTCAGTTCCATGTTGGGATCTCAGTGTGCACATGCATGAGTTTCAGCAATGAAGTGCTCATGTAACAGCAGGATGTCATAACGCATCATATGCGATTGTTATCATAATTGTGATGGCATTGCATATGCTGAGCAACAATATCATTACATGACCACAGGCTTTCTGGCCTGGAACCTGCACAGTACAAAATAAATTTAGAGGCAGCTGGAAGGGCCACTCTCCATTTTTAACAATTCCACTTTTGCAATGCTATTCCGGCTTCCAAAGGTGGCAGTTCAAGCTGCACTTACACATCGTGTAATGATATATACTTGAGCATGTTGACATCATATGTTTCATCACATTCAAGTGAATCTTGCTGCCAAAAACTAAGTTAGTGATATATATGTTGAATCCACTGAAGAACATGGCGATAGAAATGAGCGACTTTGTTGGATCTTTAAATAACATCCTCAATAGAATTTGAGATTCTAGCTCGCTCAAGTTCCTTTAAATATATCCTGAGTCATATCACACTATCAGGTATACTACCAACACAATTCTCCTGCTCCAGTACATATATTTTGTGAAGATGGCTCCCAGTCCAACAAAGAAGCATCCGTGATGAGCGTCATGAAGAGATGGAGGACAGAGGAGAACTCACATGAGCATGTTGCTGTCCAGTGATTACTATTTCAGGTGGATACCAATCTAGCCTCATAACTATGATGAGCATAAACTCACTGACCAAGAAGATTAATTTAGTGACCTTATACTTAGCTTTTTCTTTAAGCTCTAAAGAGAATGGTGCTACCTTCAGAACAAGGACTAAGCAGAGGGGCAATATTAGCTCAGAGCTAGGAATAACTTCTCAAGAGTCAAAGTAGGGAATGTAAAAATGTCAGATTTACATAGAATGATATGGCATGGAAACAGGCCATTTAATCCAACTAATCCATTCCAGTGTTTATACTTAACATGAGCCTCTACCACACCTATAGCCCTCTATTCTCTTCACCCTCATGCACGGATATTTAAAGACATTACAGCAGTGAGTTCCACATTCTCGCCACCCTCTATGTGAAGAAGTTCCTGCTAATCTCCCCATTAGATCCACTGCTAGCCATCTTATATTTATCTCCTCTTGTTTTGGACTCACCAACAAGTGGAAACAGCCTTATTGAATCCTTTCAGAATTTAAAATATCTCTATCAGATCATCACTCAATCATCTCAACTCTAAGAGAAAAGCTCCTATCCATTCAAGCAGGTGTTGCTTTGGCTGCAATGAAGTTTGCACAGGATGAAATGAAGCTATTGGAGGGTCTGGACTGATTGAATATCATTTTATAGGAGGGCCTGATGTCTGAATATCATTTTGACAGAAGGCTCTCATCTCATCTACCAAACACTGATTGATGTATACTCACTTCTGCTGAAGACAAACGAGTCAATGGGACAGTTGTGGTGTCTTCGACCAGACCCTTGCAGATTTGATTCTGGCCATTTTCCAATCAACCCATGGTATAGATAGATGTCTCTGAACCTGTGATGAGATACTGCTGATATCCTTGCTCTGTGACTTGTAAACAAGACATCATGATTTCAAGAAGCGGTTCCTGATGGAAAATGGAGAGTAGCAGCCTATCTTGGTGATGAATTATTATCTCGTGGACTCTCAACCGTACTCCTACATTTCACAACCACGACCTACTGCTGATGGGAGTGAAATAGTCTCCAATGTCTTCAGTCAGGCATAAAGATTGCTCCGTAAATGAGCCAAGAGAGACTAGTTGAATGTGTTTTGATAAGTAGCTCTGATAAGTAGAGGCCATAGAGTACATAATGGCAGGCAATTTGCATTTCAATGGAGCATTGTGTTAAAATGTCTTGGATACAATTGAAAAACAGTTTCATACCATGGATCTTCCATAATAGTACAATACTTGAAAATATTTTCTGCACGGAAGAGAACCATTCATCCCATCATGTCTGTCGCAAAATCTCACAGAATCTACCAGAAGTATACTACAAGGCTGCTACAGATTTGTTGACATTTGCTGCAATGTGCAGAGGTGCTTAGGCATATCCACCCTTTCTCCCTTGGAGACAGTCTTCCGAGGACAATGGTAGGGCATGCCCGTAAAGGTAAAGAAAGTGACCTGCAATATCTGGAACATCAAGTCATCGTGCAGAATCAAGTGTGTCAAGACTCCAGACTACCCTTGAGTAGAAAACACTGTAGTTCACTCAGAGATCCTGTTCAACTTTACCGTTACATGTTCTAACCTGCTCATGGAATACAAGGTCCTCTTATTTTTATTTAGTACCTTTTTAGTTTGTTCCATTTTGAATTTCATTCTTGAAAGCATGTTGAAAGTTAGTTTCCAGTGATAACTCAGAATCTCACTGATCTCCTCTGGATCAGTCCCTGCCCCCCTCAAAACTACTGTCATCACCCCCTCCTCAAAAAACCTTCCCTAGATCCGTCAAACCCCAGCCACTACCGCCCTATTTCAAACTTGTCCTTCCTCGCAAAAGTCTTAGAACGCGTTGTTGCACATCAACTACGTGCATACCTCTCCTCCCACTCCCTCTTCGAACCTCTCTAGTCCGGTTTCTGCCCTGCCCACAGTACAGGAACTGCACTTGTGAAATTCACAAATGACATCCTCTCTATCTGTGACTAGGGCTCCCTCTGCCTCCTTGTCCTCCTAGACTCACTTCCTGACCCTCACTCCTCTGACGCCCTGCCCCTCACTCCCTATCCCTCACTCCCTGCCCCTCACTCCCTATCCCTCACTCCTCTCACTTCCTGACCCTCACTCCTCTCACTCCCTGTCCCTCACTCCCTGTCCCTCACTCCCTGCCCCTCACTCCCCACCCCTCACTCCCCTCACTCCCTGTCCCTCACTCCCTGTCCCTCACTCCCTATCCCTCACTCCCTGCCCCTCACTCCTCTCACTTCCTGACCCTCACTCCCCTCCCTGCCCCTCACTTCCCCCACTCCCTCACTCCCTATCCCTCCTCACTCCCTGTCCCTCCTCACTCACTGTCCCTCCTCACTTCCTGTCCTACACTCCCTCCTCACTCCCTTTCCCTAACTTCCTATCCATCCTCACTCCCTATCCCCCCTCACTCCCTGTCCCTCACTGTCCCTCCTCACTCCCTGTCCCTCCTCACACCCTGTCCCTCACTGCCTGCCCCTCCCTGTCCCTCCTGACTCCCTGTCTCTTCCCTGTTCCTCCTCACTCACTGTCGGTTGTATGTCTAATCAAACAGACAGCATCTTCAACATTGCAGGGTCTCTCTTATCTCTCAGTACTGAGCTGTCACGTCAGACTAGATTATTAGCTCAAGTCCTGCCATGGGTCTTGATCCCTCTAACGCAGAGTGTCCAGTGAGCTAACCTAACACCAAATAATCTCAAATAGAGACCCCACCCCAACTAGACTAGCACCACCGCTGCTCCAATCACAGAATATCGAAATCGGACAAATTCCTCCCAGTGATCTCTCTCAGCATCTACTGCTTGTTGGAATACCACTTTTTGCAGATTCTGGACCCTTTTTGTTTTAATGACAAATGGTAACCCAATACAAATAATTCCATAAATGTGAATGAAAGATGTCAAAGCTGTAAGATTATATTTGTGCTGCTTACTGTTTTAAGGTTTTTTTAATTGGTATATTTTTAAAGAATAACCAAACACTTATAATCTGTTTAGTATAGAGTTCCTTAATTATAGATTATAGTATAGAGTTCCTGGACGAGAGACAACTTTCTTCAGCTCAACGTGTGAAAAACCGAGGCCCTCCTGATTGGCTCACGTCAGCGCCTCCGCACCTCAGGCGCTGACACCATCAGCATCCAAGGCTGCACTCTCCACCTCTCAAAGCCGGTCAGGAACCTCGGCGTTTTGTTCGACCCTGAGCTGTCCTTTCTCCCTCACATCCGCACCACAACTGGCACCGCCTTCCATCACCTCCGGAACATCGCCAGACTACGGCATTACCTCACTCCTCACGCGGCTGAAACCCTGGTTCACGCCTTTGTCACCTCAAGGCTGGACTATGGGAACTCTCTCCTCGCCGGCCTTCCCGGCCCTCCCTCCACACTGCAGGTCATTCAGAACTCTGCAGCTCGTGTACTATCCCGCACCAGGCTTCGGGACCACATCACTCCCACCCTCGCTCGCCTCCACTGGCTCCCCATCCCCCAGAGGATTGATTTCAAGATCCTCATTCTCACCTACAAGGCCATTCACGGCCTTGCTCCCTCCTACCTCTCCAACCTACTAACCCCCTACCTACCTGCCCGTATCCTCCGTTCCTCCGGCTCCGGTCTGCTTCACGTCCCCCGCCCCAATCGCCCTACCATCGGTGGTCGGGCCTTCAGCCTCTCAGCCCCGAGGCTCTGGAACTCCATCCCCCAGTGCCTTCGCCGCTTCCTCCCTTTCCTCCTTCAAGGCCGGTCTCAAAACCTTTCTCTTTGACCGAGCCTTCAGCTCCCCTCTCGACTCTCTTCCCCCTCCTCGCTCCCTCCCTTCCCTCCCCTCACCCTGACCATTTCCCCCTCCTCGCTCCCTCCCTTCCCTCCCCTCACCCTGACCATTTCCCCCCTGCTCGGGTCATGACCCAACTGTGCAGCGCCTTGGGACGTCCTCCTGACGTGAAAGGCGCTTTATAAATGGAATCTTGTTGTTGTTGTTGTTAATTACTAGGGCATGGACAAGGCGGTGTGTTTGTAATGGCCCGAGGGGGTACATGTGCCAATTGGCGTTAGCAAAGGTAAAGTTATTATAATAATAATAATAATCCTTGCATTTGATACAGCGCTTTTCACGTTGGGAGGACGTCCCAAAGCGCTTCACAGAACACACTGTAAAGTGAATTGACTATATTTGTGGGCGAACGCAGCAGCCAATTGCGCACAGCAATGTCCCACAAACATTCGTAGATTGAAAATGACCAATTTATTATTGTTTTTGGTTTTGGAGGGATTATTATTAGGCTCTGTGTGGAGTAAGGAAACTTGCCCAAGGTTTCGCCCTCTGCCTGAAATTGAACTCAGGTCTCTGACTTACAAAGCGGGTGCCCTACCCACTGAGCTACAGGACTCCACAATATTATATTGGCTTGACCCCGGTTGAGGTCAGGTTCTGATAACTTTCCCTAGCTCGATGTCTGGATCCTGTGTCATCCTCCCATCTAAGAATTGTGAGAGAGAGGGAGTCATGTCCTTGAACACAGATGTGAAAACAAGGGGCTCAGAGAGAGAAGCACACTCATGGAAATCTGATTAGCTCATGACTAAGAAACAGGAAGCCTCCAAAATAGTTGTCCATATCTCTTTTTCCGTATCAGTCATGCAAAAAGAGCCTGCTCAAAGGTCGCTAGCAGCCTGCGGAGGGTGGGGGCTATCTCTATGACATGGCAGGCGGAGTTAGAAACACATAAAAGATGTAACTTTGGAATAGTTGAAGTTGTGTAGAGGGTCAGTGAACTTCCTAGTGGAATCAATATCGATTCTACTGTATCTATGGCTTCAGTTTTAAGAATAAGTTAAGCTATTTGTATCGCTTAATAAATCTTGGATTATTACACCACCGTATTGGTCGTTTCCATCTGAATTTCTTACAAAGCTTTCAATGGCACTTGATTAATGTTTATTGATTATTTTACTACAATGCAATAATTATTTGGAAGCAGTTAAAATTTGTACAATATTCTGTAGCATTAGCTTGCCTTAGAAACCCTTAGATAGATGTTCCTTGTAAGAGTGATTATGATTATGAGAACAGCAGAAAGAATTACCCACAAAATTAAGTAACAGCAATGATCTGTTTAGAATTGTTTGAAAAGGGGAATGAGATAAAATGAGGAAATCCTATGTTATCCTATGTAAAGGATGCTAGACGAATGCACGTTGTTGAAATACAGGCCAGTTAGTTTCACATTGATAATGGGAAAAATGTTAGGAATTGATTATAAGAGAAAGAATTACTAAGAATCTGGTGAAGAATAAATTGATCAGTCAGCTGATTCATGAAGGGCAGATCATATTTAACTAATCTAATTGAATTTGAAGATTTTGAATTTGAAAAGGTCTTTGATAAAGTTCCGAGTAATGGATTAATATCAAAATGGAAGAGTCCTGCCATAAACGTAAAGTAGTAGTGACAAGAGTGGCTGAGCACAAAGTGCAGAATGTGGAAATCAATGGGTGTTTCGCAGACTGATTGGATGTAACTAACGGTATACCCCAAGGGACTGTACTAGAAACTTTGCTTGTTACAATGTACATCAGTTTGATGTAGACCTAAGGTGTCAATGTTTACTGATGAAAAATTTGTATATAATGACAAATTGTGAGTAGAATTTTCTCAGGATTGTTAGCAGAAAGTTAGGAGAGTAGTTAGAAGGAATTTTTTCACTCAGGGTTCAAAATTATTTGCAACAAGTAGCTATTGAGGCTGGATCACTTGACTAATTAAAAAGGGAACTGGATGAGTACTGAGCAGTAAAAACATGTGGGAAGAAATCTGGAAAGTAGGATTAATGAATTAAAAAGATTTTGAAAAATAGGTAGCAGTGGCTCAGACATAAAGGCAAATGGCTTCCTTTTCTGTCCAGAAATTTTATATGTTTCTATCTATTTATCAATTAAGCATTATTTCTCTGAAAGGAGATGTGATGTTCCATATCCAGGCCTGGGTTATTTTGTTTTCCTCTTCGTAATTTAATCTAGAAAAGAGAAGAATTCCGTTTTTGATTTGTTGCCTTTCTTTTTTGTCCATTTTTGTAGCTTGGAAACAGAACATTTCTTAGCAAGAAAAGGTATAAGCAACTAAGGAAAAATCAAAATGAACTGTGTTTATTAAACTATCCAATCCTATTTGATATAGCATAACATTGAATATTTATGACAGATCAATGAAAAGGTGAAAAGAAAATGTATGATTAATGTTAGGTATGGGAGTAAGTAAACATGTTGCAACTCGGGTTCAAATATTTTTTTCATTAAGACCCCGAATTGAATCAATTGGAATGATTTCCTGTATTTATTTGGTGTCTTTCACATAGGAAAACGTCTCAATGCTTTTTTATAGAAATGGAGTAGGAGCCCCATCAGTGTGAGCAATGGCGGAAGGGCAGAAGGGAGCCAACTGAAGATACAGTGAAATGGGTAAGTAGAGAGGGAACCAGAATGTGAGGTAGAGGGATCCAGAGAGTTCCAAAAAACAGAAGCAAAGTGACAGAAATGGAGGAAGTAGTTCTAAATTAGCAGAGCAGAGGAAGTGGGCAGCAAAATAGGCCACAAGAGGTAAGATGCGGCATGGGTGTGGCAGAATTTGAAAGATTGAATGAGGATCTTTAAGTCAATTGGGCGCAAGTGGAGGCTTGATCACCTCAATAAATTACACAGTTTAACCCTTTGATTTTAGTTACGAACCATAGATTTAACAAGAAATAAAAGCTCACAAAATACTTTAAAAAAAATTAACAGATGAAAGTTAGTTTTCCTAAGAATATATTTTGTATTAGTCAGTACACCGACTATCCAATGCAGAAGTGAAATGAAGATGCATCGCGGAAAACAAAACCATATAGTTGTTTTGCAAGGTTGCTCGGAACATAATTCACTCACGCAACTGTAAACTGACAGCCAAAGTGTGCTGATTCAGTTATTTGTGATAAGTCTAATGTAGTGTTAGAGAGGGAGAGAGAGTGAAAGAAAGAATGTGAGTGACAAAGGCAGAAATAGAGAGAGTGAGTGGGGAAAAAAAGCTGGTACTGTTTAATACTATGTTGGAAGAAGTTTCAGATTTGCAACATTGGTCAAGTAGTCTTTTGTACAACCCATTACCGGTTTCTATATCTCTAAACAGCAGACCAATCAATGTGGACAATGGGCTTTCTACCATACTTAAAATATATATCAAAAATACTCACCATCATTACAAAAGTCTTGCGGACATTTAAATCGTATTTTATAATTCTGACATTGTTTTTTGTTGTGGTGTCCACTTGGACAAGAAAATCCTCTTAGGATAGTACAGCTGTGTGAAAAACAAATAAATTCATGGAGTTTAGACCACCAATGACCTTGTTCTAAATAATAAAATCAGGAAAAATACTTTGTATGAGAAAACAACCAAGATGAATTTACAGTTTAATGGTATCACCCGCGATTTCCACTGGAGTTCCTTCGATTGTCTGAACTTCGCAAGAAATAGGTTCTTCACACAGCTGATCAGGGAATTCCTTTCTGAGGTCTGTTATAGTCTCATATTGTCCATTTTTGGAAGTGTCATCATGTTCAAACCATTGTGTATAACAAACATTTGAATCTAGGTTTGCAATAGTAAAGGAAGAGGCTTCAACTGACAACAAAGGAAACACTATAATCTGGATACTAAATGGTATTTAATAAATCCACATTACTCACCAACATTACAGAAATCTTCAGGACATTTAAAACGTATTTTGTAATCTTTACACTCTTTTCCTTTCTGGTGTTTATTTTCACAAATAAATCCTTTGAGGACAGTACATCTGTGGGAGAACCAAATAAAATGTTACTATAATTCTGAATATTATGATTCTATATAATTGTGGTGAAGGACACACCTTGAGTTTTCAAATTTCATCCTCTATTGCTTAGGCACTCAAGAAAAGTTGGACAAAAACATAAATTATTGCAACCATAGCAACCATAGCCTATTTTATAAGGATTCAAACCGATTGGAAAAAAAAGTCCAGAGATAACGCAAAAGTATTCATGTTAATCAAAACTGCTATGTGATAGCCCTCTGCCTAAATCAACGTTTCCCATTGCACTTGTCCACTAAGACCAGTGATACAAGTCTGACAATCACAGAAAGGATCCATTTGCATCAAGTGAAGAATTGGAGATGAACTGGCTCCAAGGTGACATGCTTGGCAACGAAATGTTGATATCAAGCCAGCCCTCAATGGCAGTCTCGTTAGTTCGGTTCCTGAGCCAGGCGAGTCCACAGTATTCCAGGGCACTCCTGATGAGAGCAGAGCAAGCCTGTCTCATTGGCAGGACCTAGAAGGGCAGAACAGTAACTGAGGCAGGGAGTCATCCCACTCGGCCTCTTTTAACCCTGCAAGCCAAATTCCCAAAGGGTAGGATAGTCCTGGCTGGACAAATAGTGGGAAAGCTGGTCAGACAGCAATATCAATGGCAAGCTGTATGGTTTTAGCTGGTTAGACTCCAGCAGTATCCCAATGCACAGTATGCCAAGCCTTGGCACTTGTCAACCTGTGCCTAATACTTTCCAGAATTAGGTAAGCAGGATGTGTCCCTCCAGGGAGAGAGTGCGCATTCCATTCCAAGTATCTATCTCGGGGATTTCCATGTGTAGGTGGGATGCATAGAAATCTCAGCTTGGTTTGGATACTCTTAGGCATGGTGATGGGTTTCCGCAGGTGTCTGACACCTGGCTGACCAAACAAAATGTTCATACATACAGTATATTTCTTTACTCATGCATTATTTGGTCAGGTCCTTTCAGAGGGCACATTTCAGCTGTACTTGAAATAGTGGAATCAACATGGTGGAAATGAAGCATTCCTATGCAGCGGATAAATATGAGCTGCAGAGGAAATGCTTGCAATTTAATCATTTTAAATTCATTAACAACTTCCTTTCTCAAAAAAAATGTTACTCCCATTCACACCTAATGTCTCAGCCGAACACCAGAAATACGCCATGCTAACCCACAGGAACTTCTTCTCGATTGGAGTTGCTATGAACCAGTATGATGTAATTCCGATGGAGGGAGTCACCACTTTACACTCAGTCACTAGTAAGGAATCCCATTAGAAATCCCCACGTTTTAGTCCAATAATGAAATTGTTGTTAAATCAGAAAAAGTAACTTTTAACAAGATATAGTGACCAAGATGAATATTTACAGTTTAATATTATCACTTGTGAGTTCCGCTGGAGTTCCATGGACTGTCTGAACTTCACAGGCAATAGGTTTGTCACACAGCTGGTTAGGGTATTCATGTTTGATCTCTGGCACAGTCTCATAGTCTCCATCTCCGGAAGGAATATCACGGTTAAACCATTGTGTATAACAAGGTTCTGAATCTAGAAAAATATATTAAGGGAAGAGACTTCAACATTCAAGAAAGGAAACAGCATCATCTGCAAACTAAATGGTATTTAAATAATGTACTCACCAGCTTTACAAAAGTCTTGAGGGCATTTAAATCGTATTTTATAATCTTGACACAATTTTCCTTTCTGCCGTTTATTCATGCAAAAAAATCCTCCAAGCACAGTACACCTGTGTAACAAAACAAATTAAGCACTGTTGTAAATGTGAATATGGTGTCATGTTGTAATCCTGCATTTGTGTGATGATCTTCCCTTATATGGAGACTGATCCTGTGATCGCAAATTCAAATAGATTGGCTGCTCCTGTTAACAGTATGTTTTTGGCAGAGATTGGTTCTTGCGGTGTCTATATAATATTGTTAATAATCTTTGCATTTGATATAGCCTTTTCACATCTTCAAGAAGCCACAAACCGCTTAACAAAATATACTCTAAAATGGAATGACTATGTATTTTGTGGACGATATTTCTTTTTATCATAAGACGTTATAAAAGGGTGAGTGGTTGTTGCTGTTGTTGACAGCAAAAGATTACAAGATCAGTTCAGGAGAAGAAGGCCCTTCAGTCCATTTGATCTCATCTTTCCAGAATACTCACCCGACTGGCCTCCCATTATAGTGGGACTTTGAAGGACAGCTACTTTGAAGGAAAAAGTAGCTGTCCTTTTAAAATGAGTCTAGCATCCCGGTCTTTTATAATCTCCCATCTGAAAGTTCTTCTCAGTTCACTTTTTCAATCCCATTCAAAACTTGAAATGCCTCTATACGTTTCCTTTCAAGAATGAAGAGTCCTGGCTTACAATACAATACAAAATTACATTTGTATAGTGCTTTCACGTCGGAAGGACGTCCCAAGGTGCTGGACAGTCAGGGATTTGGACCCGAGCTGGAGAGTCGGGATCGGGGAGGGTGGAGGGCAGGGAGGGTGTCCGAAGGCGTGGTCAAAGAGCAGGGTTTTGAGGTTCATTTTGAAGGAGGCAAGGGATCAAAGGGAATGTGGAATGGAGTTCCAAAGGGTGGGGGAAGCTTGTCTAATCATTGCTTGTAGCTCATTGCCCGAACACTGGAGATCATCTGTGTTGTTCTCTTTTGTCTCTGAGGCCTGGGTAATCTTCTTGTGTCGCTGTGGCCAGCACTGTTTGCAGTACCTCCCTCCCAGTTCTCTTGCACCCCCCAATCTGTAACTTAGCTCAGCACCCATATTTCGGAAGTTAGCCCAAGTAAAATTTTATACTGGAGTTTGTTTGTGTGCTTGTGCTGTTTTCAAGTCCAATTGAATTTTACTAATATGGTCACTGGCACCTAGTGGATCAATTATTTCTACTTCATGAATAGTAGAAGTAGTTTTAAGACACTGAATAGACCTAAGTCCAGAAGGAAATGGGAGGGAGGGAGTGATGGACGGAGTGTGTCTAGTGGGTTGAGTACCCATTCTAAACATATTGAAATTATTCTGACATTGAGTTAGCAACTAAAATAAGTATTTACATTTTAATGTTATCACTTGTGAGTTCCGCTGGAGTTCCATGGATTGTCTGAACTTCACAAGAAATCGGGTTGGTGCACAACTGATCGGGGTATTCTCCTCTGATCTCTATTACAGTCTCATAGTCTCCAGATCCGGAAGGATTATCACGATCAAACCACTGTGTAAAACAAGGTTCGGAATCTAGGAAAGAATATTAATGGAAGAGACTTCAACCAGCCACAAAGGAAATGCCATAATCTGGAAATTAAATGGGATTTAAAAAATCCAAAAAAACTCACCATCCTTACAAAAGTCTTCTGGACATTTATATCGTATTTTATAATCTTTACACTGTTTCCCATTCTGGTGTTCATTTATGCAAGAAAATCCATCGAGGACAGTACAGCTATGGAAGAATCAAATTAAGTAGTGATATAAATCTGAATACAATAAGCATCCTAGTTACCTAATTCCGGAATGTATTAGGTGCAGGTTGGCAATAGCCATGGCTTGGGTCAGAGTGTGTGTTGGGGTACTGCTTGAGTTTAACCCACTAAAACCACATAGCTTGCCATTGATATTGCTGTATTTGGCAATAGAACAACATTCACTCAATTTCTTAGCAATTGCTCTATGTTTGCAATGCATTTTGAGAAGATTATTTTTATTTAGAAGGCGGATAAGTCCAAAGTTATTGCTGTTGTTATTGATGATGACGTAGTTAGTAAAGCAATAACCCGGTTTGAAGCAGGAAACCAGCAATGATATTTTGTATTTTGTTGCCCATGTATTATTTGGTCCCGTCAGAGGGCAAACCTAGGTAGTACTACAATGGTCAAATCAGCACGTGGAGATGAAGCATTCCCCTGCAGCTCTGACTATGAGTATGAGTTGAAGAGGAAATGTTTGATTTGTAATTTATTAATTTCTAATTCATTAATCACATTCTGTATAAAACAAAAAGTTACTCACATTAGCAAACTACCATAGCAATAGAACACCCACTTACTAAGTCACGCCAACCCACAGAAACACAGCTCTGACACAAGTTACTTTCTGAATTGGATTTCCTACAGGCCAGGGTAGCAATTCCAACAAAGGAGAGAATCCCTGCTTACAACTCAGTCATTATTAAGGAATGCCATTAGAAATCACCATGTTTTAGGTCTTGAAGTTCCCATTCTAAACATTATTGTTAAAAAAATTATGAAAATAGAAAGCAACTAAGTTTACTATTTACATTTTAATATTATCAGTTGTGAGATCCACCGGAGTTCCATTGATTGTTTGAACTTCGCAAGAAATAGGCTTGGAGCATATCTTTTCAGGGTTTTCTTGTTGGATCTTTGGTGTTGTCTCATAGTCACCACTTCCGGAAGGATTATCACGGTCAAACCATTGTGTATAACAAGGTTCTGAATCTAGGAAAGTATAAAGAAGAGAGTAGAAGTGACAGCAAAGGAAATACCTTAATCTGGAAAGTAAATGGTGTTTAATAAATCCAATATACTCACCAGTTTTGCAAAAGTCTTCTGGACACGCATATCGTATTTTATAATTTTGACACTGTGTTCCGTGCTGCTGTTCATTTATACAAGAAAATCCTTTCAGGACAGTACAGCTATGTCAGAACAAAATTAAACATTGCTGTAATTCTGAATTTAATAATGTAATGTTATTATCATACATGAAGATTGAGGCCTTGACTTTCAACTTTGAAATTCAAATTGGTTGACTGTTCATCTTATTGTGGTTTATGGGCTGTTACCAACACTGATTGGTTGTTGTGATTCCCTATATAACAATCAGTCCATTTCTTAGCAATTAGATTTTGTAAAGCTCATTGAAATGAGATACTTATATGCCATTTTACATGAATTCATGAAACCAAAAAGTCAGTGTGAAGCAGAAAATCAACAGACAATTATTTGGTCAGGTCAATTTGTTTCTGTCAGCCGGGTATCTAACCCTAACTATAACCGATCACCATGTTTAAGAGTATCCAAACCAAACTGAGAATTCCATACATCCTACTTACACATGGAAATTCCAGAGATAGATTGTTGGAATGGATGTGAACTCTCTCTCTCCTTGGAGGGGTGCATCCTGCTTACCTGATTCCAGAACGTATTAAGCTCAGGTTGGCAAGAGCCAAAGCTTGAGTGTCCATTGGGGTAGTGCTGGAGTCTAATCAGCTAAAACTGGATGGATTGCCATTGATATCACTCTCTGGCAAGTTTTCCTACAGCTTGCCCAGCTCGGACCACCCTACCCGTTTGGACTTTGGCTTGCAGGATGAACAGGAGCTGAGTGGCCTCAGTGAACTTCCAAGTCCTGCAAGTGAACTGGGCTGGCTGTCATCAGCAGTGCCCTGGAATACCGCAGACTCACCTGGCTCAGGAACCTTGATCGCCACAGAGTGCTGGTTTAATTTCGACATCCTGTGACCAAACATATTACCTTGGAGCTAGTTCAGCTCCAAGGACACCCGTTTACCTCCCCGCAAGGAGGATAGTTATTAGTTGGCCGTTTGACATCTAACAAGCGCGGATTTGAGCCCTCACTAGTGGTTAGTATGTACCAGGAACTCCCTGAGAGCTTCCTGGTGGGCAGTTATTTCAGCTCAGTGTGAAATTCCTGTCTGCAGCTTGGGCACATGTCTCTTCCTATTGAGTGATGGCTCCACCAGTTGGAGATGTGGCATTTAAGCAGCAGTTGCTTGCCTCTCTGCAAGCCAATCAAGGTGGATTTCAGGCCCTGGATGTACGAAAGAGTGTTCGTTCATATGTCTAGTGATGTGAAGGGTGGGGTCAGTGGTAGGAGCCTTGACAGAAGGACTGGGTGATGTAGAAGCAATGGGGGAGTTGCGAGAGCACATGGGGGAGAAAGAGGGGGCAACCAAGGGGATGTTTTCTATCTTTGAGACAAAGAAGTCCAGGTCCTCTTTGCCTGTGGCATGAGATGTGACGATAGAGTGTGCTTGTGGGAGGGAGAAGTGGTAGGTACGAAGATGCTCGAGCCACATTTGGCAGTGAATCGTGAGGTTCACAGCAGAAGAAGACCACAATATCAGACATACATTATGCTGACCCACAGAAACACAGTTCCTATATGACCTGAGAATGGAGTTCCCACAGGTTAGTGTGATATAATTCCAATAGAGAAGGGAGTTTTCCCAGTTACATCTCCGTCATTATTAAGGAATGCCATTAGAAATCAGCACGATTTAGACTTCAACAACCCTTTTCTAAACTTAATAATAATAATAATAATAATAATCCTTGTATTTGATATAGTGCTTTTCACGTCTTCTAGAAGTCCCAAAGCACTTCACAGAACACATTGTAAAGTGAATTGACTGTATATTTGTGGGCGAACGCGGCAGCCAATTGTGCACAGCAATGTCCCACAAACAGTCGTGGATTGAAAATGACCAATTTATTATTGTTTTGTTTTTTGGAGGGATTATTATTAGGCTCTGTGTGGAGTAAGGAAACTTGCCCAAGGTTTCGCCCTCTGTCTGGAATTGAACTCAGGTCTCTCACTTGCAAAGCGAGTGCTCTAACCACTGAGCTACAGGACTCCGCAAACTTGCAGTTTGTCAAGAGATAATAACATGAATATTTACATTTCAACATTATCGCTTGTTAGTTCCACTGGAGTTCCCTCAGTTGTTTGAACTTCACAAGAAATAGGGTCCTTGCATATCTGATCAGGGTATTCCTGTTGGATCTCTGGTGTTGTTTCAAAGTCTCCATTTCCAGAAGGATTATCACGGTCAAACCATTTTGTATAACAAGTGTCTGAAGAAATATAAGTATTTCAGAAAGTATATTTCAGGAAGAAAGTTCAACTGACAGCATAGGAAATGCCATAATCTAGAAACTAAATGATACTTAAGAAATCGAATATACTCACCATCTTTACAAAAATCTTCAGGGCATTTATATCGTATTTTATAATCTTTACACTTTCCCCCATTCTGGTGTTTATTTTCACAAGAAAACCCACCGATGACTGTACAGCTGTATAAGAAGCAGATTAAATATTGTTGTAAATCTGAATATAATGATGTAATGTTGTAATCCTGTATCAGACCATGTGACAATCTGTCAAATATGATGACTTGATCCCAAATTAAAATTGATTGGTTGGTTAACTCACTGTTGTTTATGGGAAATTGCTGGTGCTGATTAGCTGTTGTTTGCCTATATAAAAACATTCATTTCTTAGCAAATATGTTTTGCAGTTTTGTAATAAATCCTCTTTGAGGATTATTTTTACTGAAAATACATTACATAAGTGTAAATTGTTGCTAATGCCTCAGGTTGTAAAGCCATAAACAGTGTGAAGCATAAAACCAACATTGGTGTATTGGATTTCACTGTCCGTGCATTATTCAGTAAGATCCTTTCACAGGGCAAACCTCAGCTGTCACGATAATACTGTGGAGATGAAGCATTCCTTTGCAGCTCTGTGCAAGAGTATGAGGTTGAAGAGAATATATTTGTGTTGGAATTTATTGACTTCAAATTCAGCAATTACAATTTCCAACCTTTTTTTAACCTCATATGAGTAAACCATTGGAGATGTATTTCACCCCATCCTACAGGAACAAAGCTTCAGTCTAAATTACTAAATTGAGTTCCTTGACACCATGGTCAAGTTATTTCGATAGAAGAGGGAATCCTCAATTAAACCCCAGAGTTTATTTAGGAACACAGTTAAAAATCACCATATTTAATACCTTAAAGTTCCTGTTCTAAACATATAGTTATATTAGGAAAGTTACTTTGTCAAGAGATAACAACTAAGATGACTAATTACAGATCAATATTATCGCTTGTCAGTTCAGCTGGAGTTCCATGGGTTGTCTGAACTTCGCAAGAAATAGGTTTCTTGCATATTTTATCAGGGTATTCATTATTGATCTCTGGTGTTGTTTCATAGTCTCCATTTCCAGAAGGATTATCACGGTCAAACCATTGTGTATAACACGGTTCTGAATCTAGGAAAGTATATGAAACAAAGAGATATCTCAGGCAATAAAAAGAGAATACCATAATCTGAAAACTAAATGGTTTTGAATAAATTCAATATACTCACCAGTTTTGCAAAAGTCTTCTGGACATTTAAATCGTATTTTATAATCTTTACAATGTCTCCCTTTCTGTTGTTTGTTTACACAAACAAATCCTTTGAAGATAGTACAGCTGTGCAAGAACCAAATTAATTATTCTTCTGAACATAACAATAGAATGTCATAGCCTATATCAGTTCATGTGACTATCTGCTTATATACAATTATATACTGATTCCCTTGATGCCGCAGTTGATAAATTTGTAAGATAGTCTGAAGCAGAACATCAACATTAATATATTGGATCTCATTGCCAATGCATTTCTTAATCACATCCTTTCAGAGAACCTCTGATTACAAAGCTCAGTTATCACTACAATTGTCAAAGCTTGTGCCCCTCTGTACACGAGCATACAAAACATTTGTTTTGTAACTTTGTAGTTTGTAATTTATCCAATTTTAATTCACGAATTGGGGAGAGAGCTGTTTGCAAACAAATCCAGTGTTCACCTTCATTTGCAACATCTGTGACAGTGAAGCAATCCATGCCCACTTGCATCAAGACCTGGATAACACACTGTGGCAGGTAACGTCCTCACCAAATACATCTCAGGAAATGACCATCTCCAACATGTGAAAGCATATACTATAATAAAATAATAAACCTTGCATTTGATATATTTAACATACAGTCAATTCACTTTACAATATACTCGGTGAAGTACTTCTAAACATCTCAAAGCACTTCACAGAGTATACTGTAAAGTGAATTGACTGTATGTTTTGTAGGCGAAACACAGCAGCCAAGTGCGCGCAGCAGCGTCCCCACAAACCGTCGTGAATTAAGTGATCACATTGTTTTTTTTTCATTTTTGTTTAATTTTTGAAAGGATTATTACCCCTGGAAAAATGATCCGCCAATCGACTGACATCTTCTCAGGGTAACCAGGTATGGGAAATAAATGCTGACCCTGTCAGCGTTGCCCACGTCCTGAGACAGAGCAACAAATCATAGCCAACAGCAGCCACAGATCCTTGTCAACTCGCAAGAAAACGACATGATGTTCCTGCTGTGTTGTACTTCCAGGACAGAAGGGAGTCCAACCCAGGAATCAGTTAGGAATCTAATTAGAAATTAACATACTGTGGGTCCAAGACTCCAATCTAAACATATTGTAAAATCAGAAAAATATCTGTCAAGCGATAAGATGAATATTTACATTTCAATATTATCGCCTGTGAGTTCCGCTGGAATTCCTTCGATTGTTTCAACTTCACAAGAAAGAGGATTTTTGCACAGCTGCTGAGGATATTCCTCTCTGATATCTGTTACAGTCTCATAGTCGCCATCTCCCGAAGGATTATCTCGGTCAAACCATTCGGTATAGCAAACAGCTGAGGTGTCTGAAGTGTCTGAAGAGTCTGAATCTAGGAAAGTGTATTGAAGAGATTTGAACTGACAAAGGAAAAACCATAATCTAGGTAATAAATGATATTTAATAAATCCAAATTACTCACCAACATTACAGAAGTCTTTAGGACACTTAAATCGTATTTTATAATCTTGACACTGTCTCCCTTCCTGGTGTTTATTTTCACAAGAAAATCCTTTTACGACAGTACAGCTGTATAAGAAACAAATTAAGTATCACTGTGATTCTCAATATAAGTAGTAAACTCACATTAGTAAACTATCACAGCAGTATAACACAACATTACATCACAGCATCCTACAGAACACGTCTCTGACACGGGTTTCCCACAGGTCAGCATGATGTACTTCCAATACAGAAGGGCATCTGCACTTACAACCAAAGCAGCCGAAACCTTCATCCACCCCTTTGTCACTTCTCCGCTGGACTATTCCAATGACTCACTGGTCTCCCCAGTTCCACCATGCACAAAGTTCAATTAATTCAAACTCTGCCGCCTGGATACTCACCAGCACAACACTCCATACCCCAATCACACCAATCCTTACCAGGCTCCACTGGTTCCCAATTACCAAACGGATCGATTTCAAGTTCCTTTTATTTGTTTTCAAATCCCTTCATGCCCTTGTAACTCCCTACCTATCTGATTTGCTTATCCCCTCTGCCTTCGCTTGGCTGGCTCCGGCCTCCTGTTCGTCCCTTGTCCCTTCCGCTCCACCATCGGTGGCTGTGCTTCAGAAACTCTGGAGCTCTCTCCCTCAATCCCTCCGCCTTGCCCCCTCCTCCCTACTTTCAAATTCCACCTAAAGATCTTACTTTTTGATGGTGCTTATGGTCACCTCCTCCCTCCCTCTCCCCCAGGCTTGATGTCAGACTCCACCACTGTCAAGCTCTCCGAGACACTACCCTACATGAGGGGTGCTATATAAATGTAAGTTGTTACATCTCAGAATCATTGTTAAGGAATAAGAAATCATTGCCTCACAGACATAAAATAATTCAGGAAAATTAATTTGTCAAGCTAAAATAATTAAGATGAATATTTACAGTTCAATATTATCCCCAGTGAGTTCTGCTGGAGTTCCATGGGTTGTTTGAACTTCACAGTAAAGAGGTTTATCGCACAGTTCACCAGGGTATTCTTGTTTGATCTCTGTCACAGTCTCAAAGTCTCCATCTCCAGAAGGATTATCACGGTCAAACCATACTGTATAACAAGTGGGTGAATCTAGGAAAGTATATTAAAGAAACATTTCAAATGACCAAAGAGTATAATTTGGCCTAGTTGCTATTCTCCAGAGGCAATGGTCCTTGCTGAGATCCTCCTGCATCAGCTTGGAGGAAGCAACAGATTGTTGGAATGTTGCCAGGATCAGTTTTCTGTCACTCTCCTTGCAATAGACTTATACGAGATACACTCAAATTTTCTTACATTCATTACAATACATTTGTTTCTTCTCATCTGTAAAATTGTACCTTTGGGAGCCATTGCTGAAAGCAAAAATTCTGATTATGTGAACCTTTGGTCAAAATAAAGGGGCAGAAAATGTCTCGAGGATAGATCTTGTGTTTAAATCTTCTGATGATGTATTTAAAGATCCGGATTCCTGAAATCTATCCTTTAAAAGAGAATTAATTGGAGTTGGTAATATGTGGCTATGCCTCATAGTTCAATCAGCCCTCCTGCACATTTCAGTTATCAACAACAAAAACAACAACAAAATTACATTTGTATAGCGCCTTTTGCATTGGGAGGACGTCCCAAGGCACTGGACAGACAGAGTTATCTGCAAGTTTTGAGCACTATCCTCTTGATCTCTTACACTGTCTCTCACTCCTCTCTCACCATTCCTCTCTCACCACCACTATAACCCGCATGATCACCTGCTCCCTCGACCCCATCCATACCCCTCTTCCTACCTCCCAGCTCCATCTCCTCGCCCCTCTACTCACAGACATCATAAACCTCTCCCTGCTTTCTGGCACTGTTCCCACCCGACTTAAAATGGCCGTCATCACTCATATCCTTAAAAAAATCCTCCCTGGACCCATCTACTCTCAAACTACTGGATGAGAGCTAATTTTCTTCAGTTGAACGTCAACAAGACCGACGCTCTCCTGATTGCTTCCTGTCAGCGCTTCCTCACCTCACAGGCGCTGACAGCATCACATCCAAGGTTGCACACTCCACCTTGCTAAGCCGATACGGAATCTTGGGGTCTTGTTTGACCCTCAATTATCTTTTCTCTCCCACATCTGTGCCATGTGCCACCTCTGCCTTCCCCCACCTCCGCAACATTGCCCGGCTCTGCCACTGTCTCACACCGCAGGCCCCCGAGACCCTCATACACACTTTCATTGCATCGAGGCTTGACTATGCAAACGTATTGCTTGTCGGCCTCCCCAACTCCTCCCTTCACAGGCTGCAGATCATCCAGAACTCTGCAGCCCGTATCCTCTCCCGCACCAGGCTCCGTGACCCTATCACCCCCATCCTCGCCCGACTCCACTGGCTTCACATCACACAGAGGATACAGTTCAAGATCCTGGTTCTCACCTTCAAAGCCCTCCATGGTCTTGCTCCCCCCTACCACTGCGACCTCCTAACCCCCTACCATCCTGCTCGCTCCCTCCGCTCAGCAGGCTCTGGCCTGCTTCACATCCCCTGCCTTGCTCATCCCATTATTGGTGCCCTGGCATTCTGCCACTCTGCCCCCCCCCCTCTGGAACTCCATCCTGCAGGCCCTCCATCTCCCCACCTCCCTTGCCTCCTTCAAGACCCATCTCAAGATCCTTCTCTTTGACCTTGCTTTCGATCACCCTGCCCTCTACCCTACCCTCCCCGATCTCAACCCCCAGCTTGGGTCCCAAACTCTGACTGTACAGCGCCTTGTGACGTCCTCCCGACATGATAGGTGCTTTACAAATGTAATTTTGTAGTTCTTGTTGTTGTACACTAGTGTGCTTGTGTTTCTACAAAGCCTCGGTCTTGTTGACATTCAACTGAAGAAAATTAGCTCTCATCCAGGACTTAATTTCATAGAGAATAATGAGCAACACACTAGATATGATGCCATTTGAACATAAGAACATAAGAATTAGGAGGAGTAGGCCATTCGGCCCCTCGAGCCTGCCCCGCCATTCGATAAGAACATGGCTGATCTTTTGCTAATGAATTTGCTAATGAATTTTGCCAAAATTATATATCCACCTATAAATCTGTGATATCTGGAGCAGATGTCAGACTTTTGCCTGGTGCCAAAATAATTGAAGACTGTTTCAACCTGCGTATGATATCTTGAAAGATCATAAACTTACATCAAGAAAAAAATAAACTTATTATTTTGAATGTCCAGAGTATTCCTACACATCCTGGCTCATCAAACTCGTTAATGCAGACAACATGAGGTTTTTTTTCCTGTCGAAATCTAATTTAGGGCATAAATTCACTCCGAAAATTAAATCCATAACTCTTATAGAGTTCTTGTTGACTGTGCCTTTGGCCACATCCTGTTATTTCTTAACCAACCCCTGCCCCCCGCCCCCATCTCTCACCCTGCTGAGGCTCCGGATCCATCTCTATAAAGCACTCCCTCCACCACATCAAAACTAATATAAGTGCAAGTTGTTGTTGAAGATTGAGTTCATTTGTTTGCATACTGATTCTATTTTGCACTAAAGATTGTTAATATTTTATGTCATAAAGAAGAGATTGTGAGCAATTTATCCCAGTTTTCTATTTTCTGGGTTCCAGGGTGTGAGCGATTGTGTTGTGGTGGGAAGTCAGTGCATGACTGTGGGCTTGAGAGAAGCCATTCTTGGTGCAGCTGGTGGAGGGCTGCTACTGAGGAAATGAATACACGGAAACCAGACTCACAAATCATGACAAGATCTTAAACCAAAACATTGTAGGATTCATTTTCATCAGGTGCAGATGGACGTTCAAGAGTCCAACGAAGGGAATATCTAAGATTCGTCTGCATAACACTTTGTTACAATAATGTCAAGGTGCCTGCCTTCTCGTTGAGAATAATATTTGCTTTTCAAGTCAGAATGAGATTAAAAAGAAATATTTTGAAGAAAGACACCTACCCGGCTTTGAAGAAGCAGAAACACAGCCTGAAATCAGAAATAACAATTGAATTATAACCAGATTTGGATTATTTCCTAAATTGATTCATGAATAAATTCTGTAAACACCAAAATAAATGTCACTTACTGTTGGCATAAATGGCAGAAATTAATATGAATGCCTAGAATTAAGTATAAACAAACAGAATTATTGATAGTTGCATTCCAAAATATAATTTATGATTTTTTATATATTTAAATTCAAAGATTAAAATAGAACCAGTTAATCAGAACCATTTTCATAATGTGCTTTAGGATATCCCCATTAAAATAATTATTGTTTAAACCTTAATATACTGCACACTTGCTTCTGGCTCCGTTGAACAAGCAAAGTTACAGGATGCAAGTTATTTTTTTTAATGTAAGTAGTACAATGAAATCAGGTGAACTATAACACGAGAGTTATTTAGCAGCCAGTCACCTTTCAACTCTATAAATCAGTGTTTGTACACTTACCAGAAGCATTTTGATTATTTTCTTCCACCCTATACTGTGGAATAAAAATACAAATATAATTCTGTTTCTAATTTTCTTAGCAAACCAGAAATCCAAATACATAAGTTTAACACTTGTATTAATTTGAGATGATCCTTCAGAGATTTCTCAATATGAAATGCATAATTAGCAAACTTCTGAAGTAATAAAATATACGTTGTTAACACTTTTCACATAGGAGGATGCCTCTAAGCTCTTTACAAATATAGAGTGAGAGTTTCAGCTGGGTAAGAGATAGGGGTCAGGGAGGTATGGGGAAGATGGCTGAAGGTTCAATCAGAGATAGATCTTGAATGGGTTTTGACAGCAGAAAGGGAGGGAATGATGTGAAAAGGGTTATGAAATAGAATTCCAGAGAGTAGGAAAAAAAAGTGACTAAACACATGTCCACGGATGATGGAGCGGGGGAGGGGCAAAGGTCAGGTTAGCATTGGCAGAGTGGAGACGATTCATTTGAAGGTAAGGATGAAGATCTTAAAATCAATCTGCTGAGGGATGGGGAGCTATCGCCCAATGGAGCTCGGCAAGGATTGGGGGGTGGGGTGTTGAACCTCGAATAAGACAGAATTTGGGCAGCAGATTTCTTGGTGATATGGAACTTGTGGGGGCTAGACTTGGGGGAGGATGCCCAATTCTGGAGGTGACAAAGACCTGGGGTGAGGGTATGGGCTGTGTTGGGGGTGAGATAGCTACTTAGACCAATGATGTTACAGAGACGGAGGAAAGTGGACTAGATGAAAGGTGGGGGTTGAATAAAGCCATAAGATTTCATTCTGTCTGTTTGGTCAATGCAGTCAGCAGATGAGGTGAGGGAAACCAGCAAGAGAATTGGAAAGTTAAGACTCATCCAGGACTTGATGCTGACAGGACAGTCTGCACTGGATGTGTTGTACAATGTTTCTTAAGCACATTAAACATTTTTAAAAATCATAACTACACAAATTAAGAAATCAGATAAGAAACACCTCAGCAAATTACACCTCATAGTCAGTAAAATGCAAATTGTTGAATGTTTTATTCTGGGTGTAACAACAACTTGCATTTATAAAGCGACATTCACGCCGGACAGCGAAACCAGCATGTTCCTCATTTTAGAAACTATACACAGCTATTTGCAACCAGAAACCAGAGCTCATTCATCCCTCAGTTATTACATACAGCTGAGATTCAAAAAGGGATATTCACTTTGCCCCTATAATTTTTCCTAATAACTCTTATGTGTTTACATGCAGATACCGTGCAAATTATTATATGGTAAGACATTTGCCAGGTTTTAATCTTTTTAGAAATTTGAAGAAATTATTTTGTGGACTATACAAAATCTTCTGTAATAGCAAGTTGATAATCAGGTTTCCTGGGTAGTAATCTGATTTTCAGGAGCGGTCCTTCCCTGGAGGCTGATTGAACTCTTACTGTTGGGACCGTGGGGAGTGAGAGTTACAACATTTTTTAATTAAAAAATTAGTTTTGGCCACAATATATAGTCACTCCACTTTACGATACAGTAGTCTGTGAAGTGCTTTGAGACGTCTCAACGACGTGATAAGGCGCTGTATCAAATGCAAGGATTATTATTACAAATTAAAGCCCCAAACCGCTCCAAATTCCCCCAGCCACAGGAGTGATAGATATCATCCTGCTTCAGTGATAAAAACTTCAGAATAAAGAAATTCTTGTTTATTATTTATTCTGTACAAAAAAGTTTAATTGCACTAATCAACACACAGTATTTTCATTCCCCGCAACAAAATGTGTTGAAGAATCGTTATTAAGTACTTGTTGCTAATTATTTGTCAGCGTTAGTGCTCTATAAAGATTAATGTTGATTGTATCACGAGGTTAAACCGGGGATCCGATTTCACCAAAGGTGACATGTAATTGACAAATATTTTACCTCAAATATTCGACCGTTGGGTGGTTTGCAAGAATGTGGAAGGTCTGAGTCTGTGTCTCTCTTTAATATCGGAGCGGAATCACAGGTCAGTGCGAACCTTTGTCACAGAGGAACCAGTCATTACATCAGAGAATCCGCATTGTCCTCTCAGCGCTTGTGCCGCATTCCCCATCGTCACTCAACCTCATGGACAACAGCTGCCAAACTGCTCAATCTCTCTGTTTGGGAGAGAGACAGAAATGGATGATCAATGAGCATTAATGAGCTTTGACATTAAATGATCAATTCCTTTATTTTAAAAAGTATGCAATTCCGATCATCTATTTTCAGGTAACATCCTGGGAAAAGGCATTAGGGAGAATCTCCAGCCTCGGGAACCTTCCTTACAAAATAAAACATGGGATTCAAGAATTTTCTACTTGTGTTCGATCTTCAATTTTAAGTCTTAAGACTGACATTTTCAGCCTCTGACATAATAATTTTTCCATTTGACATAACACCTCACCACGATGTCGAGACATCTCAAAGCACTTTACAGGCTATACTGTGAAGTGTAGTGACTGTATACGTTGTAGGTGAACGATGTCCCACCAATAGCTTTGCAGTGTGAGAACAATTTTGTTTTGGGATGAGGTTGGTTAAGGTCAGTGTCTCCCTTCTCTTTATCAACAGTGCAATGCCATCTGTAACGCCCATTTGAAGACAGGAAAGATCTCCGGGAGAGGGAGAGTGTGTATTATAACACCAATTCTTGCATTTGTAAGCATAAGGTTTCATAAATCCATATTGGCTGCTTTTAATTATACTCTTCGTGAGATTCTTAGGATACTTCATCCTTTTATTATAAAAGGGTGTTGGGTATTTGTACGATTCTGTCTTGCTCCAAGCTCTGAAAATATTTGATCTTTTTCAGTGAGCGATGAGGCGAGTAAAGCTTTAGACATTTTAGAAAGACACAAACATTTGGTCACTGATGCAGTTGATGATACCCATGGCCTGCTTGCCTGCGTGAGGCTTGGTGTAGAGAATCAACCAGCCGCAACTATGGAGGTAATCTGCTTCCTCTTCTTTCCAGCGCTTTGGGACGTCCTCCCGACGTGAAAGGCGCTCTATAAATGGAATCTTGTTGTTGTTGTCTTGTTGTTCCTCAATTTAAAATCCTCGTCCTCACTTTCAAAGCCCTCCATGGCCTTGCTCCTCCCTACCTATATGACTTACTAACTCTATAATAACCTGTCCGCTCCCTCCGCTCAGCAAATTCTAACCTGCCCGGCCCTACCCACCCTTGCCGATCGGGCCTTCAGCTATTTTTGCCCCCACCCTTTGGAATCCCATCCCATAATCTCTTCACTTCGCCTCCTCCCTTAGCTCTTTGAAGGCCAGTCTTGAGACCCTCCTCTTTGACCACACCTTTGGTCACCCTCCTACCTCCCCGCCCTCCACCACTCCTGATCCCAACCCCCAGCCTGTCCAGTGCCTCGGGACATCCTCCTGTTGTGAAAGGCATTTGCTGGTGTTGTTGTTGTTGCAGGTTTTCTTCAACTGCATTGTTTTGAAAAACAATCTATTTTACTAATTCAGGTTACAGCCAAGATGTGCATTTTATTTCCTGCTCTTTGCCCCAGACACAAATTAAGATCGTGGGAAAAGCTCACTGCACAAATTCTGCTAGTTCATGCCAATAATTGGTGTTTAACCTAAAGCTGATGCTGCTTGACTGGGATTTTCCTCTCGTCTCTTGTAGCACACTTCTCAGGTTCCTCGCCTATCATCCTCCACAACAACCATTACAATTGCTGTAATCAATCCAGTGAAGCTTAATGAGGTGTCCCTTCAAACATGAATGTTGCTATATTAAATGCAAGGTTTATTATTAATATTATTCAAATATTATTAATAATTCCAGATACTGAAAAGCTGCTGCTACAATGATCCAGCGTGACAGCGTGTTCGAGAAAGTTCCGTCCGAGCGTCTTGTTCCTGCCCTGGTAATCTGTCGACTCCTGCAGAGGATCAGCAGATCCCGCCCATCACTTGACCCAGTAATAAAGGCGATAGAGCTGGCAGGTAACCTCTGCGACGTTTGCACCTATTTCATTTGTCTACATCATGGAAACAGTCCTTTCGACCCAACTATTTAGTCTGTGCTGGTATTTTGGCTCAACATGAGCTCCACCCCTCCTTATCCTCTCTCCCAGGCTTTTCCCATCCACTGGGGCTTGTATTAGCCTGAGTAGAAACATTTCCCTCAACTTTTCAGACATTTCTATTCTATTTATATTTCTATCCTAATGTGCTGAGACTGTCCAAATTGGTTTCACTTCAAACCCTTTAAGTATCGGAATCTGTAATTTCACTTGTTTTCCTCCAACACCCCCGCTCCATCTCCACGAAAAAAAACCTTACACTTTTGAAACTTGTAAGCAGAATAGTATTAAGTGTTTTTTCTTTCAGGACTAATAAAAGAAGTGTCCGGTAACGTGGAAAACAATGTAATGGATCAGGAGGAGATAAACAAAAGGGATTGTGAGCAGCCAGGGGACAAAGGTCCCCCTGAGCCTGGTGGAATTGCAGCTGAGAATGGCAAGAGGAAAGTGAAAGGCAAGCCTGAGTTTAAGCAGAAATTCACCTGTGCCACATGTGACAAGATCTTTGTGTTTCAATGTCGTCTTGAGCTCCACGAAACGTACTGCCGTAGAGGCAGGCAGCAGAAGCTGATTGCTTTTGAGGAGTGTGGAGAGGCTCAGGCTTCCCAGAAGGATCAGGAAAAGCATGCAATAGAAGCCAATGACTCTCCGAAGGGGAAGAAGAGGCATTTCCCTGTGACTTGTGACATCTGCGGCAAGTCCTTTGTTCATCAGTCAGGTCAGATAGATATAGTGAAGCCTTTTTATAAGATGGTGGTTGGTTATTGGTTATTGAAATCACAACCAACATTACAATGAGACTATAATAATAATAATCCCTGCATTTGATATAGCGCCTTATCATAGCCGGTTCCACTGTGCAGCGAGCAGGAGGTGACATCAATGATCTGATGTTGTCCTGGGGGTGGGAGGAGGAATGCCCTTCCATTCCACCCTCCAATCCCCCTGTTCATTGACATAGGCTTTAATGTTTGGCTCTGTTAATGTGTTAATGTAACTATCCTCAGGGCTGTATTACCACATGCGCTCAGATCACTTTGAGGAGAAGCCGTTCTTGTGTCAGGACTGTGGGACCACGTTTGCTGCCAAATCTACGCTGACCAATCACATGAGGCTGCACACGGGGGAGAAGCTGTACGTCTGTAAACACTGTGACCTGAGCTTCGTGTAGTCGGCCGCCCTGGCCTATCACCTGAAGAAAAAACATTTGCAAGGTACAGCCGTCCAGCTCATAAATATAATAATATGATAATATAAATTAATAAATATAAAAATATAATAAATATACTAAATATAATAATAATATATCCTCTCAGTATGAACCGTTGATGCTACATTGATTCACAAAGTCCTGTCAAATTTTCAATTTACATTTTCATAATTGCTTACTGATGGAAATGGGAGATTCTTAATGTCAGGACTGAGAGAATGTTAAAAACATGGAAGCTCAAATGTTACTGGACTTTGAATTGCTGTTTTCTTTTTTGCCAATCATTGACAACATGTTTTTCTCCTCAGCGGAGTGCTTTAAATTTTCTACTGCTTGAACCTTTGAACTGATTAGTGTTTTAATTTGTTCATTATTAGCGGAGCATCCAAAGTCCATCCCATTGCAGAGATTGATCCTGAACCTCTTAATATCCTGCAGGGAAAATGTATGGATGCCAGTACTGCGACGCAGTCTTTGCTCAGTCCATCGAGCTGACGAGGCACATCCGGACACACACTGGGGACAAGCCGTATGTTTGCCGGGAATGTGGGAAGGGATTCAGTTAGGCCAGCGGGCTGTCCATACATCTGGATGCTTTCCACAGTGAGTGGCATCAAATTTTGCCAAATCCTTTCCAATTGCATGTTGGCTATAGTTAGTGGCTCCATGTTTAATTTTTATTTCCAGGAATGATCTGCTGAAGAGCAGTGAAAACCTTTTCCCAGCCAAAAATATGTTTTCCTTATCATTGCGGAGGCTGCAGGAAGTTTTGAAACTGCAGACTTTACCCCATAGGCTGTTAGACTTTGGCTCATTACTTTATCTTAACTTGTCTATTAGAGTTTTGTGCTTATGTAGAAGTTGTCCTCACTGGCCAGCCCACCAGCAGTTTGTGTGAGTGGACTTGCTCTCTTCTGACTCCTGTTATGAGTGAAAGACTTCAGTTAAAAGAAATTTCAAATTGTCTCCTTGTCACCCAATGGATTGATTTCAAGATCATCCGTCTTTCCGACAAATTGCTACCTGAGTGCTCCCTACCTGAGTAACCTTATTCAGACATGCTTCATGCTCGCTCCTTCCACTCAGCTAGTGTGAGACATAGCACGGTTTAAAAGGCCCTGTATAAATGCAAATTGTTGACGGTAGCATTCCACGAACTTCAAACCATGTGCAACTTTGCTGTTATCCAGCCCTTGCAGTCGTGGCAAAATAGTGAACGGAAAAGCCACACTTGTAGTGTCAGTTTGGCTCAGTTGGTAGATGCTCATGTCTCTGATTTGTGAGCTCAAGTCTCACAGCTGAGTCTCATTGTCTAATTTGATGATAACCCAGATCCCATCTGCCTGTTCAGTTCCGTGGCCATATTGGAAACGTGAAGGGAATCTTCACTCAGATTTGGTTACGTTGAGGTAAACTAATCTCCCAAAGGTTCAGACCCTGAGGTTGGGGGGGATGTAGCAAGTCCATAATTATCAACATCTTGAATGCATTTATTAATGTTAATTATCACGGAACACGACCAATCTTCATTTTTACTTTGCCAAAAACCGGCGACACTTACAGATGTGGCTCTCCTTACAGATATTGAATACCCGTACGATTGCCAGAAATGCAGCATGAGCTTCCCGTCTCTGGTGGAGCACAAGATGCACATCCAGGAGGTGCATCCTTGTGAATACAATCCCTGCGAGATCTGTGGCAAGAACTTCAGTGCCCTGTCCCTCCTAGAGAGGCATACAGTCACACACATGCGGGGAAAATCATACTAACTGTGAGGTTTACAGCAAAGCCTACCAGGTGGGTACTTCCACCTCAATCTGCGAGACTTGTTACGCGTTTATCTGAACTCTGCCAACATTTTGGGTGTCACTGTGTTCTCTCCGACCTGGTTACTCCCTAACCCACTACCCGCTGCCTGTTACCTTTTGACGGCTGGGAAAACTGCGCTTGTCATGTTTTGGAGAGGCTGAGCCTGGCTCAACGCTGCTTCCCTTGTGTTTGAGAAACTCTGCGTGTTTTCCCTGTCTTGTGCAGCAGCTGTCCGGGCTTTGGTATCACAATCAGACACATCACCCTGATATCTTCGCCACACAGAACCATCGGTCTCCCAGGTTTGCTTCCCTGCTATTCACTGAATGTGACAAGAGCGTCAGGAGTGTTGCTGTTCTCAATAAGCACACGAGGTCTGGTCAGTCAGGTAATGTTCTGTTCTAATCATTACACTGGTTGGTCTGTGAACATTGTGCTTTGTGCGCCATTCAACCATAAAGTTCCAAACTTGTCCTGAGCTCTGCAGTCACAGACCACCTCAGCCAGGGTGGTTGGGAGAGGAGAGGCTTGTGACCCATCCCAGGGAGAGAGCAATCAATCAGGAGCCTACTGACTGTTTCCTGTGATTTGGATGGGAGGGTTTGGTGGGTGGATATTGAATGAGGATAGGCCAAGACTCTTATTACAATGCTTCCCACAGTTGAATTGAGTTGCCCGTATTCCTGTATCTCACACTTGGAAGAATGGTTGCTTCGCCTGTCAGTGCTCAAAGCATTGCTGGCTTCAGGAGGGAAGGGAAGGTTGGGCAGCAGCTTTCCATCAAGCTAATGCTGCATTTCTCTGCAACAGATATAAATGAGGTGAAATTCTACCCGGGCTACATTGACTTCTTGTAAACAGACTACACACTACACAGTCGAAAGTCGTGTCCTGAATTTGTCAAATTGTAGACATAAGTCTCAACTCCATTTCTCTGTAATACCTAAACAAACTTGAGAAAATCAGCTTCAAAATGAAGTCTGTATTTAAGAATTTGCCAAATTCTGGATGATAGAAAATGCTACATAAATAGACAAAGCAAGACGCAGGTGGAACTTCTCCCTTGTAGTGTTTGTCAAAGGCTCTGAAGTCTGTTGAATTATGGTCTGAGCTACATTTGGTAATTATAATGTTCCAGTCACATTGTTTCTTCTTCCCTTTTCCCCTTCCGTCTCCGGAGGGGAATGTGAGGCTTCCCTCCTTATCTCCCATTCCCCACCTACCTTCACTTTGCTGAACCTTTGCTATCTCATTCTGTTTACAATGTTTGCTCCTCCTCATCAGATCTCAAAATGCTGACATGTGAAACCTGTGAGGAAACCTTTGCCAACCTGGGGCTACTGCACACGCACATGAAGTCTCAACATTTGGGTAGGTTAAAGCTGGGTCTGAGTTCTCTTCATAGCCTCTAGCATACAACTTCTTAGCTCTAGTGAAGGAAGTGCTAACTCGTTAGGTCCGTGTGGTCCAACAGGGGGCCAGCGGGCTGCAACTGGCACGGCGGATGATTTTGTTCGGTTTCACTGCTTTACCTCCCGGCAGCACCTCTCTTCTGATCGGTCTCCATGATGCAGCGTGGAGAGTGATGGGAAGAGGGGCAGAATGGGAGGTACTCAGCCCCCCCGACCCCTCAGGTTTCCCAACTGCCTCGAGCCTTGTGCAGCCTGGAGAGACAGCTCCAGCAGCAGTAGGAGGAGTATTTAACAATTATAAAATTGTAGAACTATGCGTATCAGTAGGAAACACAAGGTAGATATGGAAAACAGAGGATTTTGGCGTAAGTGGGAAGTGGATGACTTGTTTGAATGTAATGCAAAACCTCAGTTTGCTCGAAAGTCATGTCTGTGTTGAAGGAGTTCAGAGTTGGTTTTGTAATTATGAATTAGAATACATTAGAATATACAGTGTTTATGCTTTCCTGAAGCATTGCAACATCATGTGAGCACAGAGCATGCGGCAGAACAGGGCAGGACCTTCCTGTGCGGAGACTGCACTCAGCACTTCAACTCTCAGCAGGCATTGGAGGAGCATCAGAGGAACGAGCACTCTAGCATCTTGTTCACTGAAGCTCAGGAAGCAGCTCAAATGGTGAATGTTCAGGCAAGTATCTTTGAAAGAAGGAGGGGAGATGAGCAGGATTTCTTTGGAGCTGAGATGGTTCCAAGGTGACTTTGCTTTACAATGGAACATCGGAATTGTGTCAATCCTGTGGTGGTCTCGGTAATCCGATTCCTGGGCTAACCCAACTGGCTCATGAATAGGATTTGGAGGGACAGAACAGTAACTGGGTGTAAGGATTCTTTCCACTCAGCTCCTGTTAACTCTGTAAGCCGAAGCTTAACAGTTGCGGTGGTCCTAGCTGGACAAGCAGTGGGAAACTTGCCAGACAGTGCTCTCAATGACAAGCTTTTATCTGGTTAAATGCCAACACAGACTCTGGGGTCCCCACCCCAAATCTTTCCAACCTGCGCCTAATATTATCTGGAATTAGGTAAGTAGGATACACCCCTCCATCCCATTCCAGAACAGAAATTTCCATGTGTAAATGGAATGCATAATTGGAAGAACAGGCAGAAAGGACCCCAGTCCCTCATCGCAATGAACCCCCAACCCCCCCAATAATGTGCTAGAGGGAGGAGTTTCCCAAAGGCTGCATGTGAGACCAGTGCAACACTGGTCATGTGAAGGGTGACATCAGCGCTCTTGAGCTGGTGCTTTACAGACTCCCATTACTGTCTTTCCAATGGGGCTCCTCCTGTATTTAGCATTAACAGTTCTCGCTTTGCTGTGCTCCCGCTAACTCTTTCTTGCCTCCAGGTTGTCCAGACCACTGAGCAGCTGGCTACCACAGAGCAGGTGGTTACACTGGAAGAAGCTCAGCTCAGCGGTGTGGGCCCACAACTCTTTGTGTCGTTGCCTGATTCCCACAAACACTTCGTAGGATCCCATGAAATTGTGGCTTTGAATGTAGAAGAATTGCTTGATGGGACAGTGACCCTGATCTGGGGAGATTCTCAATAAAAAGACTCTTGAGTAGAATATGTACATACGAGCAAAGGCCTTTTGACAGTGTGAAAAGTTCACTGCATGTATTTCTTTAGGTACTTGAAGATCAGTGCCCATTCAGTTTTCTCCATCAAATGCTTTCTTGAACAATCTAGCAATGTAATCACTAACTTTAGTGTCAGTGTTTTGGGGGTTGTCAGTAATAATAATCCCTCCAAAAAAACAAAAAAACAATAATAAATTGGTCATTTTCAATCCACGACTGTTTGTGGGACATTGCTGTGCGCAATTGGCTGCCGCGTTCGCCCACAAATATACAGTCAATTCACTTTACAGTATATTCTGTGAAGCGCTTTGGGACGTCCTCCCGACGTGAAAAGCGCTATATCAAATGCAAGGATTATTATTATTATCATAAGTTTTTGTGTAAGTATTGCAAACCCTTCACACTTCTGCGGTACCCATTCTTGCGGTTCAGATAAATGCACTAAATCGCTTTATGAATGACATCTGAAAGAGAAAAGTCGCCATAATGCTGAACTCGGTAAGAAGTCACAGGTAGTGACCGGATGTGGCCACCAGGTGGCAATCTGATATCACAAAGTTTAACTGGAAAAATATTCATTTCAAGTCCTTTTCATAGAAGTTCAGATATTTCAGCATAATATTTTAAGATCATTCTTAATAACAAATCATTAATTAGCCAGATTTGGTCACAAGAAAGTTCTATAAACAGCCACGATTAATTTTATCTAAGGAATTGCTGGTCATCTGCAGAAACTCCCTTCTCTTTCAAATAGTGCCATAACGCCCACCAGAATGTCTCATTCAGCACAGCAACCTCGAATGTCAGAGAGCGCCAGCCTGGGCTGTGAGCTCAAATCATGGTGTGGACCTTGTCCCAGAGGTGTGAGTGCTACCAATGGAGATGGGGTTAAGGTGCACCACCTCAATATTAACACCTACGGCACCAGCTTCTCCAGGGAATTTGGGAATCAGTAGATGTTCTTGAGTTGCTTCCTTTATATACAAATAGGCTGGGTTTTCCCCATTGTTCATTGCAGGCAATCAGGGCTTTGATTCCCACTTGATACTTTTCTAAAAGTTAAATCAATAGTTTTCCCTGTTCTGTTGTGCGGCTCATTGTCTTTATTAAGCAACTCTTTCATTTCCACCACAACCTCCATTTTTATGCACTTGTTTCCCTTAAGTTTTCCTGGCTTCATTCCATCTGGTCATATCCTTGGGAGTGTTCAAGCTGTCATTTTTTTAATGACTTTCATTATTAATCTCTATTTTCCCATGTAATTGGACACTCAGGTCCAACTACCCGAGAGGTATGTCATTGCCGGTGAGAAATAGGGCGACCAAATTAACTCTGAGTCATTTTCTTTCTGCTGTCTCATCTCATTTGCCTTTAAGGGAAAAGAGATTGTCACTTGGTATTCCACACAGTAACCACTAGTTGAGAACATAGAACTTTACAGCACAAAAGAAGGCCATTCAGCCCAAAGTTTGTGTTGGCTCTTTGAAAGGACAGTCCATTCAGTCCTGTTTCCCAATGACTCCACAAATGACTAACTGTTTTAAGATATAAGTCTATTTCTCTCTTTGAAGCTAATATGGACCCTATCTTGACCACTACACCCAGCAGGACATTCCGCATCCTAACAATTTCTTGTAAAATAAAATCCTCCTTTCCCCTTTGCACACTTGCTATTCATTTTAAACTGATGCCAGTGGAAATAATATCGCCCTATTTACTCGTTTTGATGTTAAAACCCTCATGATTTTAAGTACCTTGATAGGTTTCTTCTCATCCTTCTCCAATGAAGCTGGTCCCAAAGACAGAAGAAATAGAGAGTTAGAGTAATTTTGATGTACTGGGCATGATGTCTACGTTAGTAAGGCACCGAAGTGTGGAACTTCACACAGAATGAATAACCAGTCAAATGCCTCTGTGAGATAGGGAAGGAAATCAGTGAGTTGGGTGGATTGGTCTTCAGTCACAACAGGGAATTGAGTGCATCACAATATTGCAGTGAAGTTTATCAACCCTGGGTTTATATAACTCGTCTAAAAAAAAGAAAATGCTTTTATCGCTGGAGTCCCTGCAGATCTGAGCCCTGGTGTCGCAGTTTTAAGAAGCTTCAGAATTTAGCTTGACATCACAATATTTACAACAATTTGCATTTCCTGTTCAATTGTATTCAACGACATTTGTAGTTATCCTACAACAACAACAACAACACAATGTCATTTGTAGAGCGTCTTTCACGTCGGGAGGACGTCTCAAGGCGCTGGACAGTTGGGACAGGACCTGAGCAGAGGGGAAATGGTCAGGGTGAGGGAAGGGAAGGGCTTCACATGGAGCTTGCGGTTGTTATTAAGTGCAATATAAGAGTCTGCCAGCCTTACTAGCCTTAAAACGTTCCGCCAAGAATCAACTAGCACAGAAATTACTGACTGTTGTCTTTCTCAAATGATAAAGCAAAAGCTACCCTGGCGGGAGAGTCTGATTGCAGAGGATGGGGTGGAGGTGGGCAGGACAAGCATGTGGGTGTGGTATTGGGGGGAGGGCCATGCTCTGCGTCTTGTCAAGTTCTGTGAAAGAAAAATCCCCTAATTGCAAATTTGGCACCAGTGGTAAATGTGCGGCTGTTATTCCTATTGTCTCATTGCGTTGCACATGTTGCTATAATTTGTGGTGTTTAATAGTGAGAATATGAGAATCTTCTCATTCTAATATTGTCCAATTGCAAGCATTACTGTGCAGAGGGTTGCTGAGAAATTTAAGAAATTTAAGAACCAGGGAATGATTTGCTTATTTTTTTTAATACCTAATAAAACAAGAGTTTAAATTTTCAGTTTATTAAAATTTGTTTGAATCACAGGGGTTGGGACCCCACTTAAGTCAAGAATTGAATTTGTGTTGGAACAAAGAAGCAATATAATTGTCAATAGAGCAGCCGAACAGTCCTGCTTTGGAAGGTAAACTACGTACTAAAATTAATTCAATAATTGGAATGATTTTATACTTGTATTGGTAACAAAGATATAATGAGGTCGTTGGAATATTCTCCAAAAATTTAATTTCTTTGCACAAAACAATTAGTTTTCTTGTAATGTGGGACATTGCTGTGTGCAATTGGCTGCCGCGTTTGCCCACAAATATACAGTCATTTCACTTTACAGTATTATCTGTGAAACGCTTTGGGACGTCTAGAAGACGTGAAAAGCCCTATATTAAATGCAAGGATTATTATTATTATTATATTTGGACCTGATTAACATAGCAAAGGCATCTTCCTCCTTCCTGCAAAGCCATTCAGAATAGTCTGCTGGAGCCTAAGGACTCTGAGACTCGAAAAGGGATAATATAAATGCCAGTTGTTGTTTGTTAATTGTGTGGTTATCTCTGCCTGACCTGTGCTGTGGATGGTCAGCAAAATTCCTACACTTGGAGGGACTACTCCCATTGCCATTGCCCCCACCTCCCCCAGCCATTCCTTCCCTTGTGACAATATCCTTAACTTCTCTTGAGGTTCTGATCGGAGGTAATGGCAAAGTCAATCAGAGTCAAAGTGTCCGACAGTGCAACTCGCTCCACAATAAGGAAATATGCATTTTGTCAAAAAACTCGAAGTGGTTTCAGTTCTTTTTTTAAAAAAATCACAATGGAGAATATCATTGGGGAGAAATTGGGGAGAACAACAATCCGCACTTAACAGCACATTTCAAGTGTGGAGAGTGTCTATAAGTGGTTTACAAGGACAAAGTAGGAGCCTGCGATGCAAGAGGGGAGTGGAACGCTGATGGCACAGTGGAAGAGATGAGATTTGAAAGCAAGAGAGATGGGGTGGGGTCAAGGCCGAGGGATTTTACAAAATGAAATCGGTCATTTACTTCATGTCTGTTTGTGGAAATGGCTCTGTGCAAAATGTCTGCCTCATTCTGCAAAATCCACAAGAGTAGCAACTTGCATTTATGGAGAGTTCTTCGCATGGGGTAGATTCCTGAAATGCTTAGACACAGTAATGAGATTTGTTTATCCTCAGTTGTCGCAATTTACAGTATATTGTGTGATCCATTTTAAGACATCCAGGTGCTGTATAAATACAAGAGTCATGATTACGTTACAGAAAGAGATTGCTTAAAACCAGCTTTTGTTGCCCTGAAAGCAATCTCAGTGCTTGTACTTTGGCACAAAGTTAGAGGTGGGAAATAGAGAAGCACTGCCCTCTCTCAGAGGAATGGGATTCAAAAACTTTAGAGAGGGAGTGAGCAGCAACAGAGACACAAAGAGGGAAGAGCAAGATAGTAAGACTGGAGTAGAGCTCCAGTGGGGGAATGAGCACCAGCACAGACATTGGGTGAAAATGCAGCGGGTTGGGATTGGAATAGAGAGCTGATGGGAGGGAGAAAGCTGGCACCAGCACAGGCATATTGGACAGAATAGCTTCCTCCGGTGCTGTGATTTTCTATTATATTTAGAGAAACGAAGCAAAGCTCTACTTGTAACTCAAAGCAGGAAGTAGGAAAGGGCTGATCACAGAGTACATAAACCCACTGGCGGGGGACAATAACAAGATAGAGAGAATAAATTGAAATCTGAGTGAAAATACAGACTCACCTTTTAGCCTTTGATATGAGATTGTTTCGCGCAGACATTGATTTTTTCTATTAAACCAAGATGACTCGAATGGTTTTCCTCCTGAAGTGTTTGCACGTGGGTGGCGTGGTTTCAACTTTACAAAGTAACATGGGATATATAATATGCCTGTCCATGAAAAGGATAACAATAAGCAACAGATTGCCTTTTGGCCACTGAAGCTTCAGGGCAAATATGGGAGGTTCACCTTCGTTTTATACGTTGTTGCACTCAGAATCCACGAGGGACGTGAGGCGTGACGGACGGGAGACAAATTCGCAGTCACAGGCACTGAAGTCTTTCATCAAAGAGCGGAGATTTAGTTTAAATGTGGAACCAGTCTGCGTGGTGTGGGACACTGATCCTCACAAGTCCCAAGTTATCTTTTGCTGCTTTGGATTGAAAAACAATTCTTAATTTCTCAAGAGCCATGATAGAAAAACAAAATCTAAAAGTATTATTCGACTAATAAACTCAAACATTCAGGAGAAATAGATATAGAAACTAATCACGTTGGAATTCAATTCTTCAGAGTC